GACCAGGGCCCCAGTGTGTTTGTTACTCCTGGTGTCCATGTGTTCTTCCTTTTCAGGCTCCCACTATAAGTGAGAACATGCACTGTTTTGGGAGGAAGTAGGTATACTCTAGGCCTGTAGATTCTCAGTGTTTCGTACGAGTGCATGGGAGTTGAAATGGTGGGCTCCAGCCAAACACGCTACCCCATATCGCGCAGTGCGCATCACTAGCCGTATAGATAGGGAGCTCGCTCTCAAACATTCTGCGACGCTTCTGCACGATTTGATATCCTCGCGAGACTGCCTTGAAATGTTAAGATAATAATAATACACAATGTAGGGATGGTTTCAATGTACAACATATTTTTAATAAGGCATTTTTCAATGTAGTGCAATTAGATTACAAAATAATAGATGGGGCAAGTCTTAGAGAGTTAGAATCTTTTCCTTATTTTGTACGATTTCTATAAGTGGGCACTTATCGATAGAAATAGTGTGCTGTAAGTTTGGGTATACATGACGCGATGTGATTTGCAATATGTTGTATGCAGGTTTTAGGATTTCTAAGTAGATCCTGATCGAACTCTCTAGATAATAGTGTACGCATTAGCTGCCCGCGATTATTGTAGTTTCAACCCTTGCATTCCACCCTATGTTCTCTTAATTCGGCCTCCTCTTATGTCAGTCCGTCTCAAAGTGGTGTGTTTCCTGACTCTCGCCCTCTTACGTTATATTGCTCTTGTTGTGCGCGCCGGAAGATGCTATTCCGAGCTCCCTCAGCTTCCGCTAAGTGAGAGAAACGGTTCAGAAACTTGTTTTACTTAAGCGACTCTCAGTGTCTCTAAACAGCCTGACTTGTATAAATTTAGACAAAAAATAGATCTACGGTAATATATGCTTAAGACAAGGTCACCTGTCCTCTGACGCGGACAATATAGAAGATTATGTGGTGTCGCTTTTCAGAATACACGATCTATTACAGTTGCATTTGCGAGCACGATAGTTCTCATCTTGAATGGTTGACATAGAACTGACTGCAGAACTATATCTACACGACTGATCACGCTAAGGTAAACATAGTGGGTAAGATTCTTGATAATTACATTCTCTTATACCCTTGGTGCTAATCAGATGTAGGGTTCCGAACGCTGTTATATTTACATTGCTTTGATCTGGCTATGCGCGATATTTATCAAATGTCATTTGGATGGATGCTAAATGCGCTCTGTATCTGATGATTTAGGAGTAGAAAGCATGTGAGCTCTCATACTCTTATGAGATGGCTTGATTTTGATTTGTACTGTCATTGATCTAAGTATATTGTGTTTTTAGAAGTATACCATGTCTGTTTGTTGAAATGCTCGTGGAATCCAGAGTTATTTATTTGGACTATTGTCGCTTCCGATGGATATCTTAAGGCAGTTGTAATGTGTACAAGGGGAATAATTATCTCTTAGTATGTGATACATAGATATGTGTTCCTAGTTCTGCTCTAATATACCTCGTATGCACGTCTTAACATCTTAGTTTTGCTCGTCCGCACCGACCACCGCCCCCTCTCTCTCCTCCCACCTCCTTAACCCTTCCACCACACTCTGAGGTTATGTTAAGTTTTGCTTATAATATAGCGACAAATGATGAGCTTTTGATGTCTCATATTAGTCATTGTATTCAATCTATATATATTCGAAGTTGTGATTCTACATTGTAAGGCGACATGGAAAATGGTAATATGTGTTCTTTTCTGGCTGCCTTTTCATATTTTCTCTGTTAGTGGTAGGGCTTGAACTTCTGGAGGCTCTTTCTTCTAGTGAATATGGATTGATATTAGATGTTATAATATCAGAAGCATTCATTTAGATTCCGGGGTTATATAAATTATAGTCTTACAATGTATATTTTGACCATCTCTCTGGAATTGGAGGCATGTTGAGCTTTAAGGCTGATTTGTACTATAATGGTAAATGGTGAAATTGAGTGAGAGAGAAGCACTTAACGTATTTCAATTTTTGTGGTCTTACTGAAATGTGCCTCATTATATTCAATGAAGCCGAGCAATAATTTTTCTGATTCATAACATAGCAAAAAGGATCAAAGAATAATATCCATAACCACTTAAAATCTGTGTATTGTTGGCTTAAGACTAGTGGAATGTAAGGCGGTGCGCTAATCTAATTGGCATATATCCAATATGGGTATTTACCTATAACAATTAGAACTGTTATTACATAGTAATTTAAATTTAATTATTAGATGTTCAACAGTAAATTGTTCTTTGAGAATTGAAGGTATATTGTATACAATTTATATATAAAATGCATATTGATCATACATTAAAAAAAAAACTCCGTTGCGTAGGGTATCATCAATTACCTTTCCTTAAGAATTAGACTTATAAATGAATAATCTTCGGTACATTATGTATTGTCATGGAAAAGTTATGCATGCAAATATGCTTAGCCAAAAAGATTTGGGTTATGATTTACCTTGACTTTATGTATTGAGACAAGAAAATACTGTGGCCATATATGCCGATATGCAGAAAATTGAAACTGGACCCCTTCATTACACTTATACAAAGTTAACTCAGATATAAATTAAAAATTGTAAAAACTGAACGTAGCCCAAAGACCACCGCTGTCCCGCGCATAACATTCAAAAGTCAGACAGAAATTAATTCCATTAATAAGACATTCCTAATAATCGTAAGAAAAAGGATAATTGAAATGAATATCCTAGCAAGAGTTTTTTTTAAATGTATGATAACCTGAAAACATTTAATATTACATAAATATGTAAACAATTTACCTTAATATCCAAAGAACAATTTACTTTTGAACATTCAATAATTAAATTTAAATTACTATGTTAAATCAGGGTCTAAAGTTTAAAACATTTATTCCATGTTACCATCACTAGTTACCTTTCACAATTAATTTTGTATTTTTTCTTGCATTTTATGAAGAATTCCTTTTTGATAAAAATGAGTAAATTCCAGTACAGTGTTAATGTTCTCTTATTGGAAATCCATAAATTTAAGGCATATGCTTCCACTATGCTCCAATATCTGTGAGGGGGATGCAAAGTATTTAGGAGTATTTTAACAGAATTCTAAGATGAATGCTTACTGATATTAACATTCTAATTCAATCGATATTCACAGAAAAATGTGTGGCCTCCAGGTTCTGTCCACGAGATAATGGAATGTGGCAGCAGTAGAAGAAAATCTAATTTTCCATTTCTAAGATGTATACTCCAAATGAAATGTTGGGCTGTCTTGCATCCATATTAATGCCTGTAACTCAAATTAGGCACATGGTAATTTATCATGTGTCTAATTTTTCTTCAGGAGTTCATAAATTAGTTCTCCTGTACATGGCTACTGCATGATATAGGTGAGGGCCTAAATAGCCAAAATAAAGTAACTCTGGATTCCCCTTTACAAATGGCTTGTTTTCAAGAGAGTAACTGTATATATATTCATGAATAATCAATGTTTGAAACTCTCCCATGCCTTCTCTATTTTACAGCATTAGGATCCACTAAATGTTTGATAATAGTAATGATTTAGTGGACCCATTTTTAGCAAAAGGTAAAAATGTTTTTTAGTACTATTACCTCATATGTTTACTCCGTGTCAGTTTTAATTTGTGCGTAGTTTTATCCATAAAGAGATAACTACTCTGAAAAATCGCAACTTGTATTTCTGTAATGTTGGACCACTATTCTTGGGGCCTGTCAGGGGGTTGGGGGGAGGGAGAGCATCAGGATAAATAGCTAATGCATGCTGGGCTTAATACCTAGGTGATGAGTTGATAGCTGCAGTAAACCACCATGGCACATGTTTACCTATGTAACAAACCTGTACATTCTGCACATATATGCCAGAACTTAAAATAAAATAAAATAAAATATAAAAAATAGAAAATATATGGCTACATATTATTTATAGTTATATATTATGAATATATAACATGACATGGTATATCATAAATTATGACATAACATAATATTACTTATTATGAATATATTATAAAACATAATTTTCCAGGCAAAAACTCTATAGTTCCAAATAGATCTCCTTCACCTACATAACAAACTATCAGCTAAGTTTTTAGAAACATTGATATTTACATAAAATGTAATTCTTAAATGATAATTCCTAACATTAGAATAAATATGAATGAGTTAATCAGTTATTAATAATTCATCTTTAATACTAATATCTTATTTATCTGAATGCTCATAGTAATTAATCATACTTGAACAATTTTCTTAATATGGAATGAGTTTTAACTGTACTTTCACATACACACATACATATATATTTAATCTGTTTTTATTGATATGTCTTGTTTTCTAGACTAAAATTTACATAGTACATTAATAAACATGTTCTATGTGATAAGTGGCCTAGCTCTCCTACTAGGTTTTAAGGTATTCAGGGATAGAATAAACATTTTCAGTTCAATTTCATTTTGCAAACACTTATTGTGTTCTTTTTATAGGAAAGAAAACTGGCTCTACCCTAGAAGAACTTACAAAAAGAAAACTATCCCTACAAAAATATAATGTTATTATGGGACGGTAACAAGTAATAACAGAAAGGTGTATAACTGAAGCAAAAGTGAGGGTCACTTGATCCAGGTAGTTCATGGGACACTTCAGGGAAGAAATGGCTCTAGAGGTGTACCCTGAAGGCTATGCAACACTATTTTGGGAAAGAAATATGAGGAGGACATTTTAGGCCAATGCAAGAACATAAATGGAGACTCAGAGACATGAAAATAGCATGATGTATATGGTATAATCACAAGTACATGGACAGAACATGCTACAACATGCTTGATGTGGCAAGTGGCCAGAAATGGGGTTGAGAAGGGGAAGGCATTCAGGACATTAAAGGCATTGTGTGCATCTTATTCTTTTAGCCACAGGGAGAATATTGAGCAGAGTTGCATCTTCCTGCTAATTCATGATTGCATCTCAGCACCTAGCACAGTGACTTGCTTGCAGTACTAGAGTCAGAGATTGTTTCTTCTCCAGTTATAATCAACCTTAAGTATTAATAAAATACAGAAGACTGTCAATGCAAATGATATTCAGAGAAAATAGATAGATGAATTTGCTAAAACCAAGCCAAGAACATTGAATTATATCTGAAAGTAGGTCTTGATGAATAGCACTGAATGAACCAATAAGTGAGCATGTGTCTATGGGAAGGACCACACGAGTATGAAAGAAATTACTGTGAAAGAATACTAAAAAGAAGACAATCAAAGAAGAAGGAGAAGGAGAAAGAGAAGGAGAAGGAAGAGAAGGAGAAGAACAAGAACAAGAAGAGAGTAGCACAAGAATTATGATTCGAAAGCAGTTCCAAGAGTTTTTCTAGGTCAGATTATCATTGATAGCCCATTGTCCACGTTGTGGGAAGGGTGACACAGGAACCTCTCACCTGGGCAAGTATACTTCTACTTTTTGCTTCTTCACAGAGTTTGCCCATTCTTCAACCAGCTGTGCTTTGACTAATGGCTCCAGAGTAGCAAGAGGAACTTCTTGTCTGGACAGTACCAGCATCATGCTTATTTCATCTCCTTCATATGGTATTTCTAGGACTTGGTAGATACCACCAGCTTCATTGGAGCCATCACTAAACTCCCCTAAAAAGAAAAGAAAGGCCATGCAAGACATATATCAAAGTTTTTAAAAAAGCTGGCAGTGAGGGATGAAAGACAGTGTACACTGCTCAGGTACGGGTGCAACAGAATCTCACAAATCACCACTAAAAAATGTTTCCATGTAACTAAAAACCACCTGTTTCCCAAAACTACTGAAATATAATCTAAAAAAAATAAAAAGGTTTAAATTTTTTATATATGTTTCTTCCCAAATACTATATAGGATATAAAGAAATTCATGCACCTGATAAAAAGCAGGTTTATATGAAAATAGGCCCTAAAATTCAAATAGATTCACAGCCCTGTATAAATTATTTTATTTCCACAGAATCCACAGAATTATTTCACATTTGTAATAACACATATTCAAGACTTGCTTTTTATTTTTAAATGAGATAATTCAATATATCTAAAGTGTGGCATTAGAAACAACGAAAAGTCCTGGTTAGGAAAATAAAGCCCTGGCTCCAAGTTGAATGTAAAGCACATTGATCAATATTCACCTGATTTTTAAGAAGGGAAAATTTGACCATTTAATACCTGGCACTTTATTATCACGAAAACTACAAGTTTTAAAGCAAAGTTTGCAGAGTCAAAATGAAATCTAAGCATTGTATAATATTTAGCTATTATATTTGTGAAAATTGGTATCTCCAAATTAGGTAATTAGGTAAATGAGGTAATTGGCTTTGTGCTCTATGAACTTAGCCAAATTACACACACACACATGTATATGGCCAAAACGTTTTATCTACATATAAAACCTATATGTATATAATTTTAGAGACAGGGTCTTGCTCTGCCACCTAGGCTGGAGTGCAGTGGTGTGATCATAGTTCACTGCAGCCTCGAACTCCTGGGCTCAAGCGATCTTCATTCGTCAGCCTCACGAGTAGCTAGGGCTATAGGTGTGTACCATTATGCCTAGCTAATTAAAAAAAAAAAAAAATATATATATATATATATTTGTAGAGACAGGGTCTTACTGTATTGCCCAAACTAGACCGAACTCCCGGCTTCAAGGAATCCTCCTGCCTCTGTCTCTCAAAGCACTGGGATTACAGGCATGAGTCACAGCAGCTGGCCTGTACTGTGCTTTTAAATAGAATAAAACTACTAGTTCTAACATATACTTGGCTAAAAATTAACTTTCTGATTATGACTTAACAAATTATTACAAGTCAATATAGTAGACAAGAAGGACTAATACCCTAAACTTCTGAAGAGTCCAATAAAACATCTTTGAAAATAATACCAAAGATATTGAATTATATTAAAAATTATAGGCTCTCAATAAAGTATAAACAAACAATTATGTTTAGCCATATATACACATGTTTAAAATCAATTTTTTTTAAAGTCCCTGTATGAGAACAATGTTTGTAATTTAAAAGTGGTGCAGAGCCCAAATCAAGTGCTTCATGGAACATATGGTCCACTAAAACCCATCCTAAACGAGATGAGTTTTTGGAGTAAATCAGAACATTCTCACACAATGTCAGGTATTTTCAGATGAATAAAGCTACTCTGCAGGCATGGTTGACTTATAAATTTGAAAATACACTGGAAACCATAATGAATATAATATTTACTCAGAAGCGAATTACAGGGTTTTAAAAATGGAGCCAGAAAAATTGAATTGTAGCCCAAATTAGATTGACAAAGAGTTTGAGTAATGAATACTTCATGTTTTTCTTAGAAATGTGTTGATATACTGCAAGAAGACAGAAATAAAAGTAAAAAATGTCTTACCATAATAAAATTCTCCTTGTTGATACATCATCGGAATTTGGACTTCACTTTCATCATCTTTAGTGAAAGAAAAGGTTCTAGTATTTTCAGGCCTAAACTGTGACTTCCAGTTCCCCTTGAAATAGATAGCATTAATGAGGGCCAGGTAAGTGGCAGCATCAAAATCCCTTGGGGATACCAAATCTTTCACCAGATCTATTTAGGAAAAAATGAATAGATAAAAATTCACATTAAACTGGAAGACAAAGGGGCACCAGAAGATTTTCAAACCACCATCTGATAGAGTGGTCCAGAGAAACTGTATACCAACTTTATAATGAAAATAAAAAGTATCTTACTTTCAAAGGGAAAAGAGTTATATACACACAAACTATACACACACACACATACACACACACACATATACACACACACACACACATATATATGTGCAATTAATGGGATTCAAAACACCCATATCACCTGAAATAATACTAGCAGCATCTTGATACACAAACTACAGAACAACATACAATATAAGCTTAGACTTCATCACTTTCTAGTTGCAACGATGCATGTAAAACTTAACACAGAGTAACCACTCAACAAATGCCTCAAAGTTTATTCTGGTTTTGTTTTTTGTTTTTTGTTTTTTTTTTTTACAAACAGTCTCACTGTGTCACCTAGGTTGGAGTGCAGTGGTATGATCTCTGCTCACTGCAAACTCTGTCTCCTGGGTTCAAGTGATTATCATGCCTCAGTCTCCTGAATAGCTGGGATTACAGGGATTACAGAGTAGCCACCACACCTGGCTAATTTCTGTATTTTCGGAAGAGATGGGGTCTCACCATGTCAGCCAGGCTGGCCACGAACTCCCAGCCTCAAGTGATCCACTCCACTTGGCCTCTCAGAGTGCTGGGATTACAGGCATGAGCCACCACGCCCAGCCCTAAGTTTATTCTTGAACAATGTACATGATTAAATGTTACCAATTTCAAATTCTTCCCTGTGTATACTGGACATCATTCTGCCAATATACCAATTGCTTTTGGGTAGGAGAAAACAGATGAGTGAAAGTCAGTTTAAATCATGATGCATTAGTGTTTATCATCTGAACTACTCCTTTTCAAATCTATTTTAAAAGATATTGGGTCTTTGCTGTTTGCTAAAAGTGTCTAAAGGAGTTTGAAAACAAATTGGTTTTAATAGTTGAATCTACTTCATATGGATTATCACCCTTGATTTATTCTTTGAATATTAAAAGACTAAATTAAAGTTTCTTTTATTGTAATCTTTTTTAATCTCATAGATAAAAAACATAAGACAAAAATTTGCTCTGTATTCTCTCATTGTATTAATCATGGCACTTCTTAAGGTAAAAGGTGCCTGCATCTTGGAGATTAAGAGATATTGAGTATCTGCTCAGGGTTATTTTTGTTGTTGTTCCAATGTAAAGTTCAAGATTAACATGATTTGAGTAGCTTTGAAAACATGGCTTCATTTAATGAACAGCTATAAACATTTACTTTTAATTTAGTCTCAATTTTTGGACTGTGATTTCAATTATTTTGCTAGTAAAACTGGAAAATAAAATGCTAAACTGTGAAACATTTGGAAACCCTAAATACATTTAAAAAATATAAAATAGCAATAAAATTTAGAATGAATGCATCTCATTCTAATTACTCTCCATTTTGGGGGGCTTAAAATAAGTTGCCCTTTTGAAAATGAATCATACACAAATGTTTTAAATTACTAATGAAGTTATTTGGTTCAAAAGCCAACAAACATCTATAAACTCTGATTTTTAACTCTTTCTTACTCTATTTTAATCATATTGTTATGAGAGCCAACTGCCATTCTATCTAGTAACTAATTTATTAAATAGGACAAGCAAAATTCCATAAAGTGGTTAAGATTACAGAGGAAACCCATTAATCAGAGTACAGATTTCAGATTATCACTGCCAAATTCTATATATGCCAAAAGATTTAACTTCTTTCTCAAACGTTCATTCATAACAATGTTTCTCAAATAGACCATAATCTATACAAAATTATTATTAGATACCCAACTAAATGCCCCAAACATTCAAAATGCAAAATGAGCAAGGGGGAAATACTTTCAGAAGTTAAAGACAGTTAAAACGAAGCTACTAGAGGAAGAAAGGATCCAAGTGACATACTGTTTGTGTTATTCTCCACCCACTTATTGATGTAGTTGGCCACGGCTACATTTTGACTGAAGTCCACATGATTTACTTCCGCATTAAAATATTTTTTCATCATTTGCAAAAACTCCTCATTGATATGAAATCCATTTTGCACAAACAAGGAATTGGCAATTTTCATCACATACTGGCTCTCTTTAGCAGTTACCATGTTAGAAAACTCCTTCAAGAAAGAAAATTCTTCACCTGAAAGATGAGAAAGGATAAGTTTATTTGCAGAACAAACATGTGAAAGGTCAAGGAGAGTGGAGGAGCATTAAAGCACAGCAAGGGAGATTAACCGAACAGGCACCCAGGGGAAAAGTGCCAGGCTTTCCCCCACATTAATATGGTCCAATACTTGTACTATTTCTAGATGTTCAAATTAACTTGTTGCAAGTTAATATCATCTACTGATATTATTTTTTATTTCATTGTTATTTTGCTACAATCTACAAAGAGTGTTTTCTTTCAAATTACTAGGTTACTTTGATTAAATTAGACTTCCTTTATACTATTAGAAACAAATATCTAGTTTATAATTCAAGATCATCCTTTACATTTTACTCAGTAAACCTTTTAATTTTAAAACTAGAAAAGCCATTAGAAATTGTTTTAATTTTTAACTTTTTAATGTGCTAATTCACATGTATATCAGAGCATTAAAACAGAAATCAAACATCATGTCAAAGTGATTACAAAATACCATTAGGCTAGAAATTTCCCCCAATACATAGAATTTTTATAATAAGATAACACTTCAAAAAAAATCTTGGATGCTATTTAAACAAAAGGATACTGCTGATTTTAAGCAAAAATTTCTGATATTTTTAGCAAACTATGCTGTCTTTCTTTGTAGTACTCATCATATTTGTAATTTTTCATTTATTTGTGTGATAAATAGGTGCCTCTCCTTCTAGACTGAAAACTCCAGAATAATGCTTGCTTTTTTAAATCACAATGAGTTTATGTAAATCATAATAATTTTTAAAAGATGTAATTTCCTGAGATTCATTCAGCCAGAAATGGAACCAGGTATTAACACATTTCTTGGGTTTCCTAATCCTTCCAGGCGTACCATTTCAATGAGATTATTTTTTACCCTGTGTAAATATTGCTGCATCTGGAATAAGAAGACAACATAACTGAGTTAAAGTCAAATTCAAATGTCTTGAGAAATCAAACCTGATCATTCTTACCATTTTTCAGGCTGTCATATCCCATTGAGTGGCGGATTTCTTTCTGGGTAGACCCTTGGGCCCCAAGTTCCATCATTCCCATTGCAAGAGCAATACTCAATGGAGAGAAGATAATATTTTCATCTTCACCAGTGGCTCTAAGACGATTATACATATTCACTGACAAGTCAGCAATGGCTTCCTCAGGGAAAGTGGCCCCTACAGTCATACTTTGCAGAACCAGCAAAGAGAAGAGTCCAAGGAGAGCCATCTTGTAATAGTTTCAAGTCTAAAAAACAATAATTTACATATTAATTATTAGTTATCTCTATAACAGAAGTCTCATGGAAGGATATGTTGGGAGGTTCTACTTTTAAAAAGTCAATTAATAGTCAAATGAACAAATAAGACAGCTAAGTTCTGAGGATTCTCCCAGGAATGAGACACCATGGTCCCTACCCTCATGGGGTTAAGAGTATGTATAGTTACTTGTACAACAAGTAATTACAAGTCATGTTTGGTGAAACTAATTTATCAGTTTTTCATAGCCTTATCAAATACGGTTTGATCATGACTTTGAATGGACTTACACTGGATTCCACTAAACTACATAGGTCTAGGACAAGTACAATGAAAACCAAAAGATATTTACAGGGCTTAAGATGAACTAGCACAGCTAGGCATTTGAAAATGTCACTTCACCTATTTATAAAATAAATGCACCTTGCAGCTGGGTTACCAACTGGTGAGCAGAGATCAGACATATACCTGCCTCAAATCCCAGTTTATTCATTCCAGGTTGCAAAGCCCACAGGAAGTGGTAACCCAGAGAAGGAGCAGACTCAGCACATCCTTGTATGATTTTTTCTCACATATTGGTTCCTATGAGGCTGCTGCTCTCCGTGACAATCTTTGGGCAGGGAGGAGGAGCCCCCTACCAAAGTTGAGAATGAAACTGAATTCTTGCTACGACATACTCCATTTATATTCAGACTTATGTTACCATTTCAGCTTACACCAAACAAACTGTTATTTCTATTTAAATTAATATTTCTAATGATCAGGCTCATCAGGTTCTTGAACCAAATTGAAGGGCATCAACGCCACATTTTCTCTTGGAGAAAAAAAGCACCATCAGAGCCCAGATATCTCTGAATAATATCTCTGCTTCTTGGCGTGCCAGTGTTCCAGAAGCCCTGTCTTCCCACAAACAGCCTGACTTGCGCACACTGGGGACACGATTTCCTCTTTCCTTTGTATTCTCCCATTCTGTCACTGCAGGCGTTTGGAAAGCTAAACTGTTTATTCATACAATTAAGTAACTTACTTGTTCTTAATCATTTAATAAAATCACTGAAACAACATGTAAAGTGATATTGAGCAAAAGCATTTGGAAAACTGTATTTTAATTATGGTCGAGCATTAATAGTCTCCATTACTCAATTAACAGAGTACATACACATTTAACTGAAGAGCAGAGTGATTCCAACAGGCTTATGAATCAGAAGATCCTAATCAGTCCTGTAACATTTATTTGTAACTCCAATTTCAGAGAACTGCCTGGTGACTTTGTAAGTCCTTCACATTTTAATGTTAGAAGCATCAGTTTTTTCATCTGAAAAGTTCCAAAGTCCTCTGCCCTCACCCCTTCACCCTCCTGCATTTGTATGCAAGTTTAAATAGTTACTGCTTGTTTAGGAAGGTAAGTCTCACCCTCTTTGTAAATATGAACTCTCATCACCTCCGTTGCTAATGGGATGACAGCTAATGGGAGACGGAGTGCACTGCTGCAGGGCAGGCTCTGTCACTCATGCAGCACTGGGATAAAGCCAGGTGCCAAGAGCACAGCAGCCTTGCTAGTCTACTGATTTCAGCCACCTTTGGGGGGCTGCCACCACTTTGGCATTCTTACTTCCTTTTGTACTCCAGAGAACTCCAGGAAAAGGCAGAAGCTTTACTCGTGGTGATGCATGGGGTAGGTTTAAACAAACCTACTGTACTGCAAGTTGTATAAAAGTTTAATACAATTACATACAATACACAATACTTGATAATGATAATAAATGACTATTTTGCTGGTTTATGTATTTACTATACCATACTTCTTATCATTAAAAAAAAAACATAACTGTGAAACAGCCTCAGGCAGATCCTTCAGGAGGTATTCCAGAAGAAGGCACTGTTATCACAGGAGATGACAGCTCCATGGGTGTTATTGCCCCTGAAGACCATCTAGTGGGATAAGATGTAGAGGTGGAAGACAGGGATGTTGATTATCCTGATCATGTGCAGGTCTCGGCAAATATGTGTATTTGTGTCTTAGCTTTTAACAAAAATGTTTAAAAGTAAAAATATAAAAATAAAAAGTAGAAAATTAGAAAAAAGCTTATAGAATAAGGATACAAAGAAAGAAAATGCTTTTGTACAGCTATACAATGTGTCTGTGTTTTAAGCTAAGTGTCGTTACACACTTACACACTTACTGAATGCAGCTTGCATGGGTAGAAGTTCTTTGGGTAAGTGAGTGAGTCAGAGGTAAGTGAATGTGATGCCTAGGACATTGCTGTACACTACCGGAGCTAGACGCAGTGGCTTTACAAAACAGTCAGAAAGTTTTTTAAACATCTAAAACTTTATAAAGTATAAAAGTTACAGTAAGTGAAGGTTAATTTATTATTGAAGAAAGAAAGGCATTTTTAATAAATTTAGTATAGCCAAAGTATACAGTGTTTATAAATTCTATGGTTAACATACAGTAATGTTCTAGGCATCACATTCACTGACCACTCATTCACTGATTTACTCAGAAAACTTCTACCCGTGCAAGCTCCAAGTGTCCTTTACAGGTACATCATATTTTATTGTCTCCAAGTCTTTTTTTTTTTTTTTTTTTTGAGATGGAGTTTCACTCTTGTCACCCGGGCTGGAGTACAATGGTGCGACCTTGGCTCGCTGCAACTTCCGCCTCCTGGGTTTAAGTGATTCTCCTGCCTCAGCCTCCCGAGTAGCTGGGATTACAGGCATGGTCCTGGCTAATTTTTGTATTTTTTTTTTTTTTTGAGACGGAGTCTCGCTCTGTCGCCCAGGCTGGAGTGCAGTGGTCGGATCTCGGCTCACTGCAAGCTCCGCCTCCCGGGTTCACGCCATTCTCCTGCCTCAGCCTCCCGAGTAGCTGGGACTACAGGCGCCCACAACCGCGCCCGGCTAATTTTTTGTATTTTTAGTAGAGACGGGGTTTCACCATGTTTGCCAGACTGGTCTCGAACTCCTGACCTCAAGTGATCTAACCGCCTCGGCCTCCCAAAGTGCTGGGATTACAGGCGTGAGCCACCGTGCCTGGCCTATGGTGGCTCTTTAAGAAAATATATCTTTTTAAGAATAAGGAGAAGAATAAATCATCCCTGCAGGAAAATACATGCACGTGGATAGCAGAAAATTATATCCACTGGCCAGAATATTCAGTGACCTCGGGTTAAAAACCTCTGGTGTACAGCAGATGGTCAGATGGAAAGAAAAGCAATGTTATATGGACCTGCAGCTCTGCTGGGTTTTCTTACTGGGGAAAACGGGATGTCAAAACCACAGATGTATCTTTGGGCTTCTAGACTCCTGGAAAGAGCTCCCATTGTGTTTGTGGGAGAGGGCTCTGCCAGGGCAGTGGACCGCAGGCCACTGATGACACATTCTGCCAAGAAATTTGGACCATGTGGCTGTGAATTGTGGGAGCAGATCCTGCCAGGGAACTCTTTCAGAGAGTTGAAGTAACTCTGCTGTGGAAACACACATGTCTATCCACAGTTAAGTGATCTTTCTTCCTTTTGAAGGCAAGATGTCCAGCTTGCAAGCAAAATTACTTCTGCTAGCCTGCTGTAGCCTCTCTGCTGCTGGTTGCTGGTTGCTGGCTCCCTCCTCTGCCTCTGCTGCCTCTGACTTCTCCTGAGTGTTGGGTGGTTATTTTTAGTTTCTAGGTTTTTGGCTGGGTGGGGGCTGGAGGGAGTGGTTTCCTTGTTCTACATTTTAAGTGTCGATATTCTCCACAGATCTAGTCCTGGCCCTTCTCTTTTCTTGGTAGAACACTTCTCACGCCCACTGGTGAACTCTCAAAACAAAGATACTTCAACTATTATATCTATTAAGATTATTCCCAAATAAGTAAAATTATAGCTCTGGCTTCATTTTTATCTTAATTTCTGATATGCATTGGTAATTGTTCTTGGGATATTTATTCATTGACGTCTGCCAGCAGTTTGAATTCAAGGAGGCCCAAACAGGCCTCCTTATCTTTTCAAACCTACTCTTTTTTCTTTCAGCGTAAAAGCATTTGACTCCCCTCCATCTCTTTTCCCTCATGTTCAATTCATTGTCAAACACTCATTCCATGTTGCACCCTGGCACCTCTCCTGTTGATCATCCCATGGCCATTCCCATGGCCACGATGGCAGTTCTTCCTCTCAATGCATCTCAAGGACTATACCAATGGTTCTGGTTCCCAGCCACTCTCTGAACTGCTATTGCCCCTGCAATCCAACATATGCTGAGCCTCCAAATCAATTGTCTTGATACTCCTTATGACCAGCTTATTCCTATGTTTACAAACCTCAGGAGTTCTCTCATCCCTGTAGACCAAAGCCCAAAATCTTTAGTCCTGAATATAACACAGAATTTGTACTGTGACCCAGCATAACTTTCTACTTACTACTCCTTCATGGATCCTATAACTGTAGCCAGACTCCCTTTTGCATCAGATACACCAGAATTTTCCTCTCCTGTTACTGGCTTATATAGTTCTGTTTCCGAAACTAACCTAGCCCAAGTTCCATATGTTCAAATCCAAAGCACTTCTCCAGGTTCTGTTCTATTTTCATCTCCTTCATGAATACCCGCTTGGTTCTTCAATTAAAACAGCAACTTCCTCCCTCCTCTGAAATCCTGGCAAATTTCTATCTCTACCTCTCCAATAGCACATACCACTGCTTCCTTCTGTTACAGGTAATTTCATACATGGATCATCTCTTGTCCTAAGCTTTTTGAGGGCACAAATGGAAGGATATTCATCTTTCCATATCTTAGGATAATCAGAATGAGCGCCTAATGAATTACACATAGTAGGTGCCAAATAAATATTTATTAAATTAATATAGTGTGACATGTAAAGGCCTATAATGCTGTATCAGAAGGAACAGCAAGACAGCAAGAGTAATTGTCACTTCTAAATTATTGAGCCTAATTTACTTTCAGCCCAGTGGTAGTAGCTCAATTTTTTCTTCTCTTTGAAAAAGTGTTTCCATC